GGCTACCCCTTCTCTTATCTGTATTTTTTCCAAGTGGTCCAGAGGAACTTATTTTACTTTACCTTACTTAGACAAGGAGTCGCTAAGGGCAGACTCCTAAAAATCCTAAGATTCTCTTACTTATAGTTACTTATGGCCTTGAAATTTTATAGAAATTGCAGTATATATGCATTTTTTCCCAGGTAAACATGTCCATAGATTCTCAGAGGGGTCCATAAGCCGCTAAAAGTTAAATACCACTCTAAATTTTAATATTATCATATTAAATATTAAGTAGATGATTTTCCTCAGAGATACCAAAACTTTCAATTTCTTTTCCCTAGCAGAATTATAAAATTGCAATTCACAATTCAATTTGTAAATTTTAAATCAACTGGATTTAAATTAAATTCCTATTCGTGTTTCTGTTTTTAGCAGTGACTGGGTATTTCTAAAAAGGCAGAATGAATATTATCAAGGTGATTACCGTCCTTTTATGCAATTTAATGTTGGCTGTTTAAACTTTCTTAAAAGAATGTTAATCACTATTTTTCAACATTTTAACTTCTATTCTTCAAGTTACTCTTTTGTCAAAAAATACTTTCCAATTACCTTCATTGTTTTTTGCGTAGTATGGAAAGATGTTTAGAAAGGAAATGAAAGAGAAAGGAGACAAAACCCTGGAGTATTAGAGCCGGAAGGGGGCGGGGGGGGGTCGGAATGGACTCGGCGGCAACGAGTTTTGTTTAGGTTCAAAGAAGGACGTTACGGAAAAGGTGTTTTCTCAACAGAATGTTTGGCCAGGAAAATTTTCTGTAGCTTTACTAAAATAATTACTTCTTTTTCAGTTTGCATTTCCTCTCATTTATAAGAGAAATGAAAAAACGAGGAAGTTAGCTTCGGTGGGAGTAATCTGAGTCAGCAGAAAAGGCAGCTGAAAAATAAAACACCCGGGAGAAAGCTAATGCCAAGAATGGGAAAAGGGGCAACGAATAACAGCGTGAAGAGAGCATAACAAGAAATGAACACAGACCGAGCAGATCTTTTCAACCCAACACTCTCAGCCGCCTTTCTGCCGAGGTCACGAGAGAAGGCTCAGCTCCGCCCAGCTGCTCACTAGCTCAGAGGGAGAGGCTTGAAAGACTAAAGCAGACACCTGATTTTTTTTCCAGAATGAACTAGTTGCAAGGGCCACCAACGAACACCTGAAGACTTTTAATCATTCTACTGATGTTTGAGCAGTTTTTTAGAAGAAGAGTCACTTATATATCTATATATATACACACACTGCGTAATAAATTTGTAAATCATTAAGATTACAATAAACATATACATAAATAATTCAATTCGGTTAAAGGATAAGTGGACATATATGCAAAAATCATAAATTATATCACCCACCCAAAAAAATTATCCAAACTCATTGCCGTCCGGTGGATTCCAACTCATAGCGACCCTACAGGACAGAGTACAACTGCCTCATAGGGTTTCCAAAGAGCGCCTGGTGAATTCCAACTACAGACCCTACGGTTAGCATCCAAGTTCTTAACCACTGCGCCACCAGGGCGCCAAGTCAGATTACACTAGTTGTAAACTGAAGTCCCTGGATGGTGCCAACGGTTAGGTGCTCCACTAATACCTGAAAGGTTGGTGGTTTGAACCAGCACAGAGGTACCTTGGAAAACAGGCCCGATGATCTGATTTTAAAAGGTCACAGCCTTGAAAACCCTATGGCGCATAGTTCTACTCTGAGACACATGGGATCACCATGAGTCAGAATCGACTCGCTGGTAACTAACAACAACAGCTGTAAATTATATCACTACTGAAACGCATGGCGTTCCTGGGTGGTGCAAACCCTTAGGGCACTCCACTGCTATCGAGAAGTTTGGAAATTGAGTCCATTCAGAAATACCTTGGAAGAAAGGCCTGGCATCTATTTCAGAAAAATCAACCATTGAAAATCCTAAGGAGCACAGTCCTACTCTGACACACATGGGGGTGCCAAGAGGTGGAATCAACTCAACAGCAACTAGTTTACTAAGAGGCATATTGCTGTTGCTGTTGTTAGTTGCCAGCGACTCCATTCCGACCCATACAGGTTTGCCTAATGAAAACATCTTTCTGTTCAAATTTTAAAAGTACGTATTTCTGAAGTGGTTTTCTTACAGAACACTAGGCTGTGTAACAGGATAGTCTAACAGTTGATCCTTGATATTATAAAATACAGTAAAGTACTCTAGAGACATACAGCACAGTTCTGGTTGGTTCCATTTAAATTGTCCCAGTAGTTTCAGCACTTGTCAGCCTATTTTCCTTCATTTAATATCTCTTTCAGATAAGCCAATGTGGAATTATCTTGTTTCTGTGTAGAATTAGGTGTAAATTCAGAACGCAATCATGTATAAAGTTATCAACTTCTCAAGAAAAAGTAATAATTTACAGAACTACAATATTTCCAAATAATAGAGTCACTTTGCATTTGGGTTGCTGAGTTACCAAAATTTTTATAGGTCTGTGGGTTGTATTCAGGAAGGAGTCACTGCACTTGAACTTCGTAACTACCCCAAGAATGATGTGCATGTTCTACATGTTCAGGTGAAGCCACCAGCACTTTCTCCTGATCTGCAAGAGCAGATATTACATCAGTGTGCTGCCATTACACAAATATTTTCAGGTAATATATTAAACTAAACCATATAACACTGTGAAAAATCAACAATTTCATATGGTTCAGCCTCAATATATTTTGCATAGTTAGTAACCTATTCTAAATATTTTTATTAAAATATTTTATCATTGGCATTATATTATAAATATAATGTTATACTATAAATATACATTATATAGCATCTATAACATTCTGATATGATAAATACACTTACCTCTATAATATTAACATTATAGTTAATATAAATATATATATTTATGTAAGTATAAACATTGTGGATATTATATGAAATATTACTGTTTATTTGGTTAAATATTCAGCCTAAATATATTCTGCTTATTTAGTGAAAAAAGTAAAATATGTCTTATCTTTTAAAACTGCCTTGGAGAAAAACAGTATTTGTATTTGTTAGTTTAACCAAAATGATTAATTTTGTTTTATAAATAAAATCACTTTTTATAGCATTTAATTATGCCAGAAAATAGTAAATACAGTTTTTACTCTAGCTTAAACTTCCAACTTTGTATTCTTCATGTTGTTCTGCACATAGTACTGGGTGTTCAGTGCCTATCTATTGAATAAATTAGTATTAGTCAAATCGATCAATTTCAAGGGTTTTCTTTTCTGCATAAAAATATAAAAACATGAAATAGTGGCTAGAGAATGGTTAAACACATACTAAGCACTTTTCTCTCCCACTTCTAGATCCTTGAACTCAGTTTACACTAATACATACATTCCACGCACATTCACTGAATTCTCTAAATTAATCCCTTCAGCAGATATTCATTGAGACTTTATTGTATTCCAGGTACTATGATGGAGCCTGGAGACAAATAATAAAACAATATGATGTAGACTGCATGAAGAAGCATGAAGTACTAAGACGACACCTACCCTAGGGGAAGTGGATAGAGAACCCCAAAACCAAACCAACTCATTGCTGTCGAGCCAATTCTGACTTATAGAGAGCGACCCTACAGAATACAGCAGAACTGCCTCGTAGGGTATCCAAGGGGCTGGTGGATTCCAACTTCCGACCTTTTGGTTAGCAGCCAGCCTCTTAACCACTGCGCCACCAGGGCTCCATAGAGTACTCAAGTGAAGGTTTAAAGAGGAGAAACACTAGAGGGGGTACTTTAAGGATAAATAGAATCATAACAATTTTGTTTCCAATGATGAAAATTAGTTTTGAAAGTACTCCATTAAAATTTAACCAGTAAAATCTTGTAACCACACACACAAAATATGGTTTGCATTGATAATGATTATATAAGCCAAATAATTCAAGCACAGACATAAAAATTCCAACTTCGATATTCAATTTATGCAATGCAAAGGCCACTCATCATTTATATCCAGAAGGCACTCTTTCGCTTTCATGTATATGTTATCAACTTATAGTGTACATGTAGAAGTTTATAACTACTTGTTTGATACCAAATTACATGACAACGTAACAACATACAAGGTTCAGCCCAAATATAAGGGGAAAAGTACAAGCAAGAAATTCATGAAGAAAGAGTAATACACTGAACTTGAAATAAGACTTGGAGTTTGCACACTCAATATTTTCCTGACAAGTTTTTATGTTAACTTCTTGGCCACTACAGACCAGCTTAAATTCTATCTTCCCTGATTCAAAGCTAAATTAACTCTTTTTATGGTTATTATTCACACTTCTATATTTAAAAATGAAGCTTTAGAGGTAGGGACCATCACATTCTCTTAGTAGTTAAGTATGGATTAAGATCCATAACAGGCCTTACATACTTAACTGGACACACTTAGACACATCCTTTTAATTTCTTAATACATTTTACTAACATTACATGGTTTACATAATATTATGAATACAGGACAACAAAACCTTCTTAATCTTAAACAGAATGCCAAATCGTGCTGCACCTATGACATGTCTGTTTAGTGAAACTTTTCTTCAATCCATAAATACACATAATCTATTAAAAAGCACTGAAACTACTGGCTAGCTTCAAGGTACATTTTTATTGCCAGTACTGAGGTTTCCTTCAATGTTAACTTTATATATATATACATATGGTTTAAATCCAGACAATATCAATTTTTTAAAACGTGAATTGTAATCCATTCACAAATGTAAAATTTTACCTATTTTTTTTTTTTGTGCAAAAAAAAGTAATTTCTTTCTTTTCTTCCTTTTAGGAAGCAAACTTAAATAAATGATGAGTTTGCAGAATCTCTTGAGTACATCTAACTGCATACTTTATTTACCAGTTAAATACTTAAAAAACAGCTGTGCCCTTTTTCCAAAGACCTACAAGGGGCAGGACCGTACTTAGCTCCTGGAGATTGCCAAATCCATACTCACTAATCCTCCAGCCCGGCAGCCCGGGTGAGGGACTGAAGACACCACTCTGGGTTTCGCCGTCAGCTGCAAGAACCTAAACCTTCCACACCGTGTGGCCCGCGGGTTCTCCCAGTACAGAAGTGCACAGTATCCGAGTAACCCAAAGATACTAGGGGCCTTAAAAATATGTATCTAATGCCTACTCATTACATTTTTGGAGTTAAAAACAAAAACCCGACGTTGGGCTCCGCCACCTATCCCAGAGACACTAGCCGGCAAGCCTGTTCGCCGCGCCAACGCCGGAGGCTCAACCCGCTGTCATCCAGGTTCTCACGGCTCCGCCCGTCGCTTGATAGTTAGCCAATGACGTGCGAAGCCTTTAGGAAACGTGATGACGACAGCGCTGTCGCCCGCGTGAGAACGCAAGCAGCGTCACCGTCTCCAAGGAGCGGTCTGGAGCACCGGTTTCAAAGTCGCAGGGCGGGCCGAATGGACTTCCGCTGCTGGGCCCGGGCTTCCTGGTCGTCCTGGCGTCGCTCTCCGTTCTGCGAAGGACACCGCCACCGGGCTGCCCGCCGGCTACCTCGGCGTTCGCCTAGGTGTCCCGACACGACCCCAAGTGACCCGCAGGACTCGTGTATCAGCCCGTGTCCCTTTCCTACCACTGGTCGGATTCGGGTGAACGTGGGACAGAATATACTTGGCGCACCCCCAGCAAACCTGAAATCTGAAGTCTCGCGCCTGGGCGAGGAACTCGACTGTGATTAGAGCGAAGGAGGCTGTTGACGCCGCGTGAAGAGGATGCTGATTACCCTGTTCGAGTGCTTGACAACCTCCGGAGCGTTACCTTAGTTTTGTTTTCTCGGACAGCGAGCTCTGTGTCTTTTTAAGGAAGGCAAAAGAGGTGAAAGCTCCAAACTAAAATTGGATCGATATGGCCACAGAAATTGACTTTCTAAGAGATCAGAGTAAGCTCCATATTCCTTTATTGATAATTCCGATATGTAATATTTAATGCCATTGTTGACCAACTAATATTTTTTGAATGCATGTTGGGAGCATGGAAATTTGTAAAACCTTAACGGTAGCTGCAGAAAAAGGTTAGTGGTATACATAGCTCGGTAAATACTTGTAGGTTGCTTGAGCTTACATGGGGCTTTACTAGACACGAAACATATGTTTTCTATGCTCCTCGCGTGCTCCTAAGAAATTAGAAGGCTGATGGCCGGGAACAGTTTCCAAGTTTACAGTCAGAACCTAGAGGCACAACTCTGGCCGTTTGTTCAAAAGACGTTTATTGAGTTCCTGTATATATTAAATGGTTTTTGGTTTTGGTTTATATTATGTGCCAGGCACTGTACAAGCACAGCTAAGATGAAGAGGACATTTCTACCCTCCAGGAATTTAATTTGGGGAGGAAAATATATAAACAACTGCTAACTCTTTTCCTCAGTTTTTTCATAGGGTTGTTGGAATAATTAAACGAGCATCAAAAGGATTTACGATGGTATCTAACATATAGTGCTAAAAATATATTAACTATTACAGGGTTATTATTAACTGTTGGTCAAGGAAGGTATCATTTGGACTGAAACTAAGTGCTAGTATGAATTTACTAGATAAGAAACTGTGTAGACGTCCCAAATAGAACAGTGTTTGCAACATTGAGGGGATTAGAAATATGCTTTGTTAAAGGCTTGCAAGAAGGTTGGCTGGAATGGAATATGGAGGTTTATATAGGAGAATGACAAGTGGAGCTGAAGGGGTTAGAATGGATCTAGATGGTGAAAGGTTTAACTGCTGTGTGTTAAGGAGTTTGGACCATTGTACATGTTACAGGAACTACTAAAAGGAATTTAGTTGAGAGTCACATGATAAAACTGTGCTTTGGAAAGCCCGGTCTGGCTGTTTATGAGAAACATGTATTATAGCAGAATGCAATTAGGTGACTATTGTAATCATGCAGGTAAAAAGTAAATTAAAGTTTGGAGATTAGGGGAGTTGAGACAAAGAGGTAGAGGACAACTCAGGTTTTTGGTTTGAGCAAAAGGAAAGGTGGGAGAAAGGTCCAGTGGTTAAGAACTCAGTCTCTGAATTCAGTCAACCTGGTTTCCATCTTAGCTCTACTTGAGGTCTTTGACTTTGGGCAACATACTTAACTTCTCTGTGCCTCGGTTTTCTCCTTTGTAACGTGAGCATAACACAATAACCCTTATGGGATTGTTGTAAGAGGATGAAATGAGATGATGCAAATAAAGCACTTTGCATGGTGCCTAGCATATATTAAGAGTACAGTATATGTTTTCTAAAGTTGTTAATGACATTATGATAACACTGTAAGATTAGCATTATTTCTTAGGTTTGAAGTGGGAAGCTCCCCACCCCATAAGGAGTACTAGCTGGTCACTATCTGAGTAGTGTGGGACAGGAATTGTTTGGTGAGGATTTTGGCTAGAGTAGGGAGAGTACCTAGGCAGAGGAATCAGGCAACCAGAATTCTTAGATAAAATTAATGTCCAAGTACTAGAGAGAACTATATAAGACAGTCAAAGCGTGGTAAGTTATTGCTTGAAAAATGAGTGGTAGTTCAACAAAAGACAAGTTGGAGAAGAGAATCTTAGGCAGGGAGAGCAGAAAAAGGAAAGGCTCAGAGGCTTGAAATAATAGTGCTTATTTAGGGAATTGATTTTTGTTTTGCATATGACCCTTCTCTTTTTCTCTTAACTGGACCTAACTTGCCAGTTAAAATGTGGACCACCTGAACAATCAGGTGAAAAAAAAAAAAATGATTTGCCCTACCCTCTGACCTTCTCTACATTGATTTCTGTTTATCTTGATTGCCTCTTTTCATTTGTTCCGTTTGGGTTTGGTAGCCTACCTCAAGACTGTTTTGGTACTTCTCACTGACAGCCCCACAGGACTCTGCCTCTGATAATTACTGCTTCAACTTTCTACATCATAACCACTCTGCACCCAACCAGACATCTAGTAAACTTCTACCATATTTTCAGTGTGCCATTCTTCACCTCCGTCTGGTAAGGGAGATCTGATAGTCCCCAGGAACCTGTTTAAAGATGAACTTGTATATTAAGCAAAGGAACAAAGACTTCATTCTTATAGTGGGGGTTCTGGATAGTGGTAATGGACTCATTTTTTCTTGAACAGTGTCTTTCATAGAGCAGAAGTTTGACATTTTGATGAAGTTCAATTTATCAGCTTGTTCTTACATAGATTGTGCTTTTGGTGTCGTATCTGAGAAATCTTTGCCTAACCCAAGGCTACAAAGATTTTTTTCTGTGTTGTCATCTGGAAGTTTTATAGTTTTAGGCTTTACATTTAGATCTATAATCCATTTTGAGTTAAATTTTGTATAAGGTACCAGCTAAGGGTCAAGGTTCTTTTTTTTTTTTTTTTCATCTGGATGCCCAATTGAAAAGACTAACTTTTCTTCATTGAATGACCTTTGCACTCTTACTAAAAATCAGTTGTCCATATATATATGGATCTACATCTGAATTCTCTTCTCTTTCACTTACCTGTCTATTTGAACACCAATACTGCACTGTCTTGATTATGGTAGCTTTATAATAAGTCTTAAAATCAGATAGTGTTAGCTTTCCAAATTTATTCTTCTTTTTCAGTTGCTTTGGCTATTTTAGCCCTTTGTGCTTCCGCATGAATTTTAGAATCAGCTTGTCAATCTCTACAAAAAAGTATTCTGGAATTTTGATACAAAACAAATATGTTGAAATTTGAAAAGTGTGCATTTGACTCTATTGATCAATTTGTGTTGATTTCATATCCTAGTGATACAGAGTCCTCTGATCAATAAAAGGTTTAATCTTTCTATTAATATAGCTCTTTAGTTTCTCTCAACAATATTTTGTAGTTTTAAGTATATAGATTTTGAACATTTTTTGTCAGATTTATCTTAAAGTATTGTAAAGTTTTTAATACAATTATAAATTGTATACTTTTACTTTCAGTCTCTGATATGTTGTTGCTAGTGGCGTAGTGGTTAAGAGCTCGGCTGCTAACCAAAAAAAGGTGGGCAGTTCAAATCCATCAGCCACTCCTTGGAAACCCTATGGGACAGTTCTACTGTCTATGCTATAGGGTTACAATGAGTGATTTTTATTTTGCATATTGCATTGTATCCTCTACAGCCCTGCTGAACTCACTTATTCTAGTAGCTTTTTTGTAGAGTCAGATTTTCTGTAAGAGATGATCATGTCATCTATAGAATAGACAGTTTTGCGTCCCCCTTTCCAATATTGTTTTTGTTGTTGTTAGGTGCTGTCGAGTTGGTTCTGACTCATAGCGACACTATGTACAACAGAATGAAACACTGCCTGGCCCTGCGCCATCCTCACAGTTGTTAAGCTTGAGCCCATTGTTGCAGCCACTGTGTCAGTGCATCTTGTTGAGGGTCTTCCTCTTTTTTGTTGACCCTCTGCTTTACCAAGCATGATGTCCTTTTTCAGAGACTGATCCCTCCTGATTACATGTCCAAAGTATGTGAGACATAGTCTCGCCATTCTTGCTTCTAAGGAGCATTCTGGCTATACTTCTTCCAAGTCAGATTTGTTCGTTTTTTTGGTAGTCCATGGTATATTCAGTATTCTTCACCAGCACCGCAATTCAGAGGCATCAGTTCTCCTTTGGTCTTCCTTATTCACTGTCCAGCTTTTGCATGCATATGAGGCAATTGAAAATACCATGGCTTGGGTCAGGCACGCCTTAGTCTTTAAGGTGACATATTTGCTTTTTAACACTAACGAGGTCTTTTGCAGCAGATTTGCCCAATGCAATGCATCTTTTGAGTTCTTGACTGCTGCTTCCATAGGTGTTGATTGTGGATCTGAGTAGAATGAAATCCTTGATAACTTCAGTCTTTTCTCTGTTTATCACGATGTTGTTTATAGGTCCAGTTGTGAGGATTTTTGTTTTCTTTATGTTGAGGTATAATCCATACTGAAGGCTGTGGTATTTGATCTTCATCAGTAAGTGCTTCAAGTTCTCTTCCCTTTCAGCAAGCAAGGTTGTGTCGTCTGGTCTTCCTCCAATCCTGATGCCCCATTCTTCTTCATATAGTCTAACTTCTTGGATTACTTGCTCAGCATACAGACTGAGTAAGTATGGTGAAAGGATACAACCCTGACGCACACCTTTCCTGACTTTAAACCATATAGTATCCCCTGGTTCTGTTCAAATGACTGCCTCTTGATCTATGTATAGATTCCTCATGAGCATAATTAAGTGTTCTGGAATT